AGATGAATCGCCATATAAAACATTACTAGCCTGAAAGTAGGTCTTCCACATGCACAATTTCAGTGTTTTGTGGATAGGGATGTGGGGGGAGAACTTTCACTCACTGGCCCCAGATCCAGCAGCTCAGCTCATATGCCTCAGAAACCAGCACCAGGACATCATACAGCTTTCCACACTGCCCCCAGCCTTCCATGGAGTCAGAGAAGCCCTTCCTAGGGTCTTCCAGGCCCTGGCTTCCTCTTACATGGTGTCATAACCCAATGATTTTTAGTGCCTCGGCACATTGGAATTTTCCCGCCACATGGAGCTTTCTTTGCACGGTGGATTTCTCAGCTGCAGAGAGAAAACCCCGGTGCAAAGAGTTCCCGCCGCACGTATGTAAATTAGTGTCCCACTATTGGTCAATTCTAAATTATTCCTACGTAGCGGCTAGCAATTGGCTCGCTAGCCGTACAAAAGGTTAGAGCAGTTTCCGCCCAAGTTGGAGGACTCCACAACCATCTCGTGGGGAACTCTGAGCGCGCTGTGGAGCCTAGCAAACTCCACGTGTGTCTTGGAGGAGGACATAGAGGCCTGATCAGCTCTTAGCCACTCCCCGTCATAGTGGAAATTTGACGTATCCCCCGTGTGAAGCGCTCGTGGAGTCATATATCGACGACTCATCTTGGTTCGGTGCGGTTCGGAAGAGATCTCACTTGTGTTTGTTTGTGTGCAACTGCAACTCAAGCAAGTTTCCTCCCTGCACTGTGACCATCGGCAGTGTAAGTAAAGCTTTCTTTATAAAACCAATACGCTTCTGTGCCTAACTCTACTCCGTCGTGGAAAAACCCCACCTGACGGTCCGGGCTACTGGCCATAGCCTTAGACCGACCCTCGGTCCCGACACATGGCACCCAAAAACAGGGGGTTTTTGCTGTGACATAAGTCTTACAGTCCTTGTGGCAAGGAACATGGATGATCATAACACTTTTATGGCATGCCCCTGGCTTGCATGTTCTTTATATGCCACATGATACAGAACAACTACTTTAGAAACATTCCAGAAATTTAAAACATATTGATACAACTTTCTATAACCCTCCCTTTGTGAAACCAGATAGTTTAGTCATCATTAAAATTCAGCTCCATAAGGAGAGGGATAGATACCCAATATATATAGAAACCTTTAAAACTACCTATAATGACTTTTTAATGCATAACAATGTGGAGATTTTAAAACCAAATCTCTTAGGATCCATTTGACAAGAACCACATACCTTATTAACCATGGAAAAGAAAGAGACCCAGATCTATGCTAGCCGGACAGGCCATCTGATGTAAATGTGAAAACTCCTTGATGGACTGGAAGGATCAATTAAATTCTAACCACTATTTGCCTTGAGGGCTAGGGACCCTATTTAGAGATCCTGGCCCAACTGGGCTAGGCACCATAGAAATTTATAAGTAAAAAGGGGATCCCTGCCCTTGGGACATTCCAAAATAAATACAAGACCAGAGGCAGCAGAAAGACAGAGATGGGCAGGTAGAGAGCACAAGGGAACAATGAGACAATATTGACTAATAAGGTGACCAGCAGTCACAGCTCTACCAGTGTCAAGGATTCAAGGTAGAGGAGGGTTTTAAGGAGGAAGATGAAGAAGGGTAACGAGAGCACTTTGGGATTATCTCCAGGGAACTACTTCTATTCACAGTGGAAAACATGAAAGAAAGCATGAAGTTCTGTGCTAGGAGGTTTATACAATGGGCAAGGAAAGATGGTAGCAGAGCAGAGGCAGGAGTCAATATTTCATTTGTGTCTTGGAGAGGGGAGGTGGGGTGGGGAAACACCGTGAAGGGTCTTAAAAGGAAAGATACGTTGCCCGTGTTTGACATGGTGGAGGAGGGGGAGTCAGTAGAGAGAAGGATAACACAGTGAGGCGATGAACCAGGAAAATGATCTTTTTCCCAGTGTGCTGAAGGTTATATGTGGTATACCTCAAACCTGGGAACTCTTGGATTAAATCTTCTTGAGAACTAAATAGCTATGTGGCTCCCTTAACTCAACCAACACTGGGCAATGCTCAAATATGGCTCCCACTTGAATACAAAGAGAAAGAATTAGATGGAAGTGCAGACTGAACATCTGATACAGCAGGAAGATCAAATGTTTAATCAGAATTGCATCTTGCAGTGAAATGGCCCCTCAGAAGTTAGCAGATTGTAAATACATAACTTAATTAAAAGAAAAAAATAGGTCATATTTTCCTCACACACATCTGTGGCACATCCATACTCAATATTGACAATAACAGAAGAGAAAGGCCAGACACATAATAATACTGGAAATAAATCACATTATCTCTCATTCTCTGGGGTTCTGTTCCTCCTCCATCTTTTCCTGGCAGTGCTTTGCTTTCTTTCTCCTTCTGCTTCTGCAAGTGATGTGCCAAAGCCACAAAATATAGATCTGGGTTTCAAACATCCTAAAGTGGTTTAGCTCTGGAGCATTTTGGCTCAGCCCACAGAGCCTAGACAGGAAGTCTGGAGCAGAATCTAAATAGCTCCCCAAGTCGTAGCATCTGGACAGAGTCCAATTCTTAACTTCTCTATGTCTCCCCATCCTTCTTTCTCTGTCTCCATCTCCCTCTTTCCC